TGTATGTACATAGTGCATACATACATAGTTAAAATATTAGGGAATAAATATAACAACAGTTGAGATTACATAGGTTAATTAATACCCTCTTAATGTTTGATTGGAGCTGGAATCAAAACGAATGTTCAATGACAGAGATTTGAGTTAAATATTGATTAGCTGCAAACTAGCATCTCTAACACAAAGAGAGGAACAACTCTTGCCCTATATATTCCCTCTAGCTCCATGCAAAATTATATTGCATTCTCATTTAACTATCACATATTTCTATTGAACCATGGTATCCACTTTAAGGTATATTTATGTAGTATTATTTTAAATGTTAAAAAATTTAATTATAGTACGGAACCGAACGGAACCGAATAGAACCGAACCGAACCGAACCGAACCGAAACCGAATGGTTCCAAAATTATATTTGGAACCGACGGTTCCATTTACTAAATACCCGAAAATTTCTGGAACCGAAAAAAACCGAACCGAACCGACCCGCGCCCACCCCTAAGGACAGCCATATATGCATATGTGGTAAAATCCATCCATTCAAATCATTAAACATCGCATCTCAAGCCATTCAAAATATGATGTCTCAGCATTACATACCCTCTTCGTTTCTCTCTTACGACATCGGATGTCGATGTGTAGTATTTTGAATGGCTTGAGGTCTAGAATTTAAATGTATAATTCTACCACGTGTGTATATAGGACGGTCCCATTAAAGTTTTTCTCCACTAGCCAACACAAGATTATTCCTTTGTTCTATGTGAAACTTTTCTAATTCTCCCATATTAAATGACTTGTGCATGCAAATCACATTCGTTTTTCACGATCCATGTTTGTTTATGCGTGTTTGCGAGAAAGTTCTATGTGTAATTTGTTAATGTTTCTCTCTCTCTCATACACACAGACAGTGTAAGGTGCATATACACGAGTGTTATTGTGTGTGGAGGAAGAGCTAATTGCCTGGAATGATGCGCAATGTCGAAAGATTATTGTCAATATATTTTCATTGTGTTGTGTTGTTGAGAATCAAAATATATGGGACATTGTGCAGGGATATCTAGATGAACAATTTATTCAATTGGAAGAGCTACAGGATGCAGAAAATCCAAATTTCGTCGAAGAAGTTGTTACAATGTACTACAGGGATTCGGCTCGATTAATCCAAAATATAGAGCAGGCTTTGTGAGTAAAATCTTAGTTTTTCTGTTATCAGCTATCAACAACTGCAAGATTGCCTTGTGATCACTGAATTGACTCTGGGAATTTCTCTGTCTCTATTATAGATGCAATTCGGTGCTCATAGAGTTCAACAGTTGACTAAATTTTACATCAAAAACTATTCTTGATTATGAATTTGTAATCCCTTTTTCTATCAGGGAAAAGAACCCTCTTGATTTTGCTAAGCTGGACAATAATATGCACCAGTTCATGGGGAGTAGTAGCAGGTAATTATTAAAAAAATAATGATTTCATATTCAAAATAAATCAAGAGAGGTCTTGCAGTTATATTTTGTTCATCTTCAAAAATAACCCTACTATTTGTGTCATTTCTTTATGCAGTATTGGAGCAAAAAAGTTGAAAAATGAGTGCACACAATTCAATGAGTGCTGCAAAACAGGAAATGGAGAAGGGTAATTTATTTTCTACTTATAGTCATATTTCCAGAAGGTGCTAAAAACTTAATACACAGTCTAATTGTCTGAATCTGATAGAACAAAAGTCCTTTTTTTCTTCTTCTTGTTTTGGGGTAGGAGTTAAATGTAGGAAAAATGTAGGTGTTTGAACCTGTTTGTATTTAGCTTCTGTAGATATAGTGTTACGTGCGGCAATATTCATGAATTATACGCAATCGCAAAGAGAGAGCAAGAGAGAGAACACACACTGCTCCACGATGGCATTTCTAGTATACAGTGTTCCATTCAATATGAGCCACATACTCCAACAACAGAAAATCCATACGATATGAGCCACAAATTCTAACAATAGAAAATCCATGGGACTGTGTTTATTAATTTAGACCTTATGATGATATTTACTGCATCTTGATGTTTTTACAGATGCAAGAGAACTTTCCAACAAGTGAAGAAAGAATATGCTGCTCTTAAAAAGAAATTAGAACAATATTTTCAGGTCCCTTTTCCCTATTTCAAATTACTTTTCCCTATTTCAAATTATTTTCTGCAACACATCTAATGCATTTAAGAAAGGTTACACAAAATTGGAGCTTGAAAAAGATCGATTGTTCAATCTAAAAAAATTACATGTATATAAATATTGAATTTCTCATTTTTTGTCAGTTTTCAAGACAAATTGGCCCTGTTGAGAAGGCATGTCGTCCAAAATAAGGAATCTGCGCAAACGCTGTGATTTTGGTGCATGCAAGATGCAATAAAAATTGTGATTATGTTTCATGCAATATATATATTCATGTAAAATGCACCATTTCATCACATAATCCTTCTCGAGTGCAATGAAAGAGAATATTTTGGTGGGTTTATGTATTTATTCGCCTTTATATTAGATCTTTTTGCCCTAAAGAGAATTTGGCTGGAATGCAGCTATACAATTCAAAGTGGTGTTTTCTTTTATCAAACTAGTATTTATGAATACTAACTAGGTAACAACATGCAGTTTTGTAATAATGCTGTAAAAAAATTTTATGTTATAATAATAATAATAATAACAACAACAAAAACAACAACAACAACATCAGAGAAATTTGAAACATTGTAACTTGTATAATTGCATATGAAGAATTTAATAAAACATATAAGAAAGAACACAAAAAATTACATAGTTCGGAGTTAGTGTGACAAACCTACATCCACGGGAGAAGAGAGAAGACTATATTCACTTATATCCGAAATATTATAATGACATATATATAGTCAAATTACAACAAGGTTGTCTTATTAAAGATGAGACAATCACGAAATAATATAACAAATTATGAAAACATTCCAATTATCATCAACCAATATTCTCCAAATGATGCCATAATATTTTTTTTCAATATAAGCAAATATTCTTCAAATCACAAAATATCTCTCTTCTCCAACACTCCCCCTCAAGTTAGTGGGAAAATATCGATAGAGCCCAACTTGGACAATATTTAATGAAATTTGACAGTTGTGGTGAAAATATCGGTCAGTTGCTGGCTACTACGAATGAAGAAAGTGCAAATAACACTGGCTTGGACTTATTCTAGTATAAAATGACAGTCAACTTCAATGTATTTTGTCCGTTCGTGACAAACTGCATTTGAAGCAATATGTATAGTAGATTGATTATCACAAAACATCTGGAAGGGTTGTGACGAACCAAATCCCAAATCCTTCAACAAAGAGCGAATCCAAATAATTTCACTGGCAGTAGAAGTCATTGCCCGATATTCGGCTTCAGCACTCGAGCGTGCAACAACGTTCTACTTCTTACTCCTCCATGTCATCGAATTTCCCCAATAAAAGTGCAATATCCAGTGGTAGATCTTCTATCAACAGCACTACCAGCCCAATCTGTGTCTGTATAAGCAGAATAAGAGAGTAACCATTTTTACGCATCCATATGCCTCTTCCAGGTGACCCCTTGAGATAGTTTAAAATTCGATTAACGACATCCATATGTGTAACTCGTGGAGAATGCATAAAGTGGCTAATAAGGCCGATAGCATATGAGATATCGTGTCGATAATTGTGAGGTAAATTAGTCTGCCCATCAATCTTTGGAATTGACCCACATCAGATAATAGATCGCTATCAAGTATTAATTTGGAGTTATACTCTATAGGCGTTTGAGCTGACTTAGCACCTAATTTTCCAGAGTCTTTTAACAAATCCAATACGTTTTTTCTTTGGTTTAGAAATATGCCCTTTTTTGAATATGCAATTTTTAATCCGAGAAAATACTTCAAAATTCTCAAATCCTTAATAGAAAACTGTGTATGAAGAATATTTTTGAGTCTTGATCTTCAGCAAGATCATCACCAGTAATAATAATGTCATCAACATAGATCAAAAAAATAACATGACATTTCATACCTCTTTTGACGAACAAGGAAGAATCAGCATTACTCATCTTTAAGCCATTCTTGACAAGAACATGACTGAATTTGACATACCATGCACAAGGTGATTGTTTAAGACCATATATGGATTTTCTTAATCTGCATGTGAGATAACAAAGACCCTCCAGTTGATAACTAGGAGGTATACTCATATAAACTTCTTCATCAAGATCACCATGTAAAAAAGCATTCTTCACATCCATCTGAAATAATTTCTAATCTTGATTGACGGCTAGAGATAAAAGAACACGAAACGTGTTCATTTTGACTACAAGAGCAAATGTCTCATTGTAATCAACTCCATACGTTTGGGTGAAGTCTTTTGCAAGAAAACGTACTTTATGTCGTTCAACAGATCCATCACTTCGAAACTTGGTTTTATAAACCCAACGACACCCAACTGTCTTCTTCCCTGGAGGAAGTTTTACAATGGACCAAGTTTTGTTTTCATTAAGGGCTTGTAACTCGTCATGCATTGCTCGTCTCCAAATAGGACTGGAATTTGCTTCTCTAAAATTAATCGACTCTTGAGTTGAAGACAACGGAGTTAAAAAGGCTGAATGAGACAAGGATACATTGGAGTATGATAAATGAGAATGTATAGGATGACTGACAGCTTCATATGTAACAAAGTCCTTTAATTTTTCTAGAGCCTTGGATGTTCGATTTGACCTTCTAAGAATCTTTTCGGAAGTATATGGTACAACACTGACATATTCTGGACCATAATGAGCAACTGGCGATAAAGGATTTTCGTTGTCCCTATTGTCTTCATCTTGTTCGGTTTCTCCTGTACCTCCGTTTGTACTATGGTTTCAATTTCGCTTGTACTTGTAATATCAGAAGAAGATGTCCATATAGCGGAAAGTGGAAAGTGATACAAATAGCTTCTTGGACTGAGAATCATAGCATGTATATCCTTTTTTTTGTCGAAGAATATCCTAAGAAGACGCACAAGATGGAATGATGATCAAATTTATCATGATGCAAGCTCTAGTGGTGCACATAACAAACACAATCAAATACTCGAACGTGAGACACATTAGGATTTCTCCCTTATAAGACTTCCAATGGTGACTGAAAATGGATTACATGACTTGAAAGCCTATTTATCAAATGCACAACTGTTAAAACTCCAAGTGACCGAAATTTCTTCGGAATATTTATTTAAAACATGAGAGCTCTTATAGTCTCCAAAATATGTCGATTTTTCCTTTCAGCCACTACATTTTGTTGGGACGTACCAACACAATTAGTCTGATGTATAATGCCTTCATTGGGAAGAAAGGTCCTTGCAAATTCAGTCTCATTATCCGAACGAAAATCTTTATTTTACTATCAAATTGAGTGGCCATCATGTATGAAAATCCTTAAAAAAGGGTAAACTTCATTCTAGATTTCAATAAATAAATCTAAATAGCACGAGAATAATCATCAATAAACAATACAAAATATTTAAAACCATCATATGAATCAATTTGACGTGGGCTCCATAAATAAGAATGGATTAACTCAAAAGATTTAACAGACATAGATGAAGAATTATTAAATGGTAGATGAACTTGTTTGGAAAATTGACAAACATCACAAACATGTGTCCCAGAAGACATATATAGAAATAAAAAATATAATACACGACTAGAAGGTTGCCCAAATCTTTGATGTACGATATGATTTTCTAGCATAGTACTATTAAGAGAAGTGACACTGAATGGTTTGAAGAAATAAAGTCCATGTGAGTAGACACCTTCACCAATCTTCTTCCCCAAAGTTTGATCATGAAACACAACATCATTAGGAGAAAAAATAACATTGTAATTGAAGGAGTTAGTTATTTTTTCGACATAAAGAAGTTGAGTTGGAAACGAAGGAATAATAAGTGCATCTGTACTAGAAGACCGGGAAAAAGATTAATTTTTCCAGATCCACAAAAAGGAACTGAGGTACCATTAGCAACTGAAACAGCATGGGTTGATGAAGTTTTTAAGAAATCACTTAAAGATGATGCATCATTTGCCATATGATCAGTAGCACCCGAGTTAATAATCCAAGTATTCAGATGTTTAGATGTACAGTAAGAGAAGTAAGCTTCGAGGTTACCAGAGACATGAGTACTGGTAGACGGAGTAGATTCTTTCAGACTAGGATGGCTAGGATGAACAAGTTGTTGGAGTATTTGAGTCAATTGATTCAGTGAGATGGTAATGTCAGCAATAGCAGCAACTTCACTGATTCTTCCTTTTATAGTGGATGGCTTAAGATGAGGGTGAAGGTCCCAACAACGGTTCTTAAAGTGTCCTAGCATGTGATAGTGATCGCATTTTGGAGCTTCCTGTCTTCCCTTGTACTCAAAGCTTTTCCTTTTCTCATCTCTTTTTGCAATAAGAGTAGTTGACTCAGATATATGCTTCGTTTCAAAATTCATAGTCTTTTTTCGAGTTTCTTCTCACCACATAGTTACACACACACACACACACACACACACACACTAGAGAAGGTGGTAGAACTCATAAGGATATGATTCTTAAGATTCTCATACTCCAGCTTCAAACTACTTAGCAAAGAAAAAATCTTATGTTTTTCGGCCCTTTTCAACAAGATTTTTGCATCGGTTGTATGTGGGCGATACATGCTCAATTCGTCCTACTTCTTCTTAAGATAACCAATATGCTCAATGAATATCTTATCCCCTTGCTCAGCTGTAGCAATTTCTCATTTCAACTTAAAGATTCTAGCAGCGCTGTTTTGATTTTCGTAAATCTCTTCAACCAAATTCCACAATTCTTCCGCCGAATGTGCTTCCATTTAATTTAGAACCCAAGACCTAATGAGTTGATCATTCAAAATCCACCATTCATCCTTTAGATCTGTAGAATTTGGACAAATAGAAGTGCCATTGAAAAAACTCAACTTTTTCTTTCCCCTAAGAGATAACGTCACGGCTTTTGACTATGGTATGTAATTTATACCATTCAAGAGAACTGTAGATAACTTCCATCCAGGATTAACATCATTCTCCATCACTATAGATGGATTAATGGTTTTCTTACTCATTGTAAACTTAGAGACAAAATGAAAAGAAACTTCAAACTGCAAAAAATTGAAAAAAAAAAACACAAATAGCTAACTTTGAGGGCGATTTTGACCCACCAAACGTTGCCAAAAAAACTGAATTGTGCAAAAGAGAAAATTTTATTTCTTCTTTCCCTTTTTTTCGAATTGTTGGCCGGATCAATACATCCACTCTGATACCATGAAGAATTCAATAAAATATATAAGAAA